CCCTGGCTGCGCCTAGAAATTCTGTCCATAAAAATAATGAACAGAACCGGTGACCAAGGGCAGCCCTGCCGGAGTCCAACATGCACTGGAAACAAGTCTGACTTACTACCGGCGATGCAAACCAAGCTCCTGCTCCGCTCGTACAGGGACCGGGTGGCCCTTAGCAAAGGGCCCCGGACCCCGTACTCCCGGCGCACCCCCCACAGGGCGCTGCGAGGGACACGGTCGAATGCCTTCTCCAGATCCACGAAGCACATGTGGACTGGTTGGGCAAACTCCCATGAACCCTCCGCCACCCTGAAGAGGGTATAGAGCTGGTCCAGTGTTCCACGGCCAGGACGAAAACCGCATTGTTCCTCCTGAATCCGAGGTTCGACTATCGGTCGAATTCTTCTCTCCAGTACCCTGGCATAGACTTTCCCAGGGAGGCTGAGGAGTGTGATCCCCCTATAGTTGGAACACACCCTCCGGTCCCCCTTCTTAAAAAGAGGGACCACCACCCCGGTCTGCCAGTCCAGAGGCACTGTCCCTGACCGCCATGCGACATTGCAGAGGCGTGTCAACCAAGACAGACCAACAACATCCAGAGACTTAAGGTACTCATGGCGGACATAACTAAAGTTTTCATATTCAGCCCAAGACTGGAGAAGATTCCAGTGTCTTCTGATAGCTCACACAGTATCCTCCTCAGGTTCTTCTTTGTCCAAAAACAGCCAACTGATAATGAGAGGTTCTGTGTTGGTGGGAAAAAATTATTTCACTGTCAATTTTCATAATGTTCTCTCTCCTCACTTAAATTATTTGCAAGCATTAGGGAAGTATGAGTAATAGGGCTCTTTTTTATATATATATATATAAACTGTAGCACTACAATAACTTGGCCTGGCATGTGTGTGAGGATGTGTTCTCTGCCCAGTATTACTTTACACACTAATGAATTTGTCAGGATAAGGAAAATGGAAGCATATGCTCCATTTTTTGAGGTGCTTCATTTAAGTGGCTGTGAAATCAAACATTCTTAAGAATCAGCAAAACAAACTCATTAATGGCAGTGCACAGGTTAAGGCCTCAGAGGAAATGTTATCCCACGGTAAATATTTGAATAACCCCCTGGAAGCATATTGAGTACTCTCAAGGAGCTCCTCCTCCTGTGTCCTACAGCATACCGAGCCACTAAGCAGGTACAGGGGAGTAGAAAGCAGTAGGGTGGCAGGGAGGACCTCAGAGTCATGCTGCTGTTGGGATCAGACTGACGAGACAAGATAAGAAATGTCAGATGTGGTTCTATCTTGCAGATCCATCCACTTTGCCAAGCCGCCATTATTCATTGAGGCAAAATTCATGCTGGTTATGCTCAAGGAAGAGTAATGAATTTTAACAAACAGAGCATGGTGTGAACATTTTAGTTTCAAGGTGCTAATATGTGCTTTCATTTGAATGAGATTTATAGGTGTAGACAATTGAACTAGACTGTAATGTCAGAGCACAGTTTTGACTCTGGGATGTAATAATAACAAAAACACACCGTACAATATTGTCAAGATAAAAAGTCTGCAATATGATATTTATCACAAAATTAAAAAATGAAGAAAAAAACACAGTTTCAGTCTTAAACAGGGCTAATATTGCTTTTGTCTGACAGTTTTTGTAATTTGTTTTGTGTTTGTTCCTTTTCTCTCTGCCTATGTTGTTTCTTGAAATGGCAACACTGAAATGCTGCCATACAACAACTCTAAAAGTTGATGATGGAGCATCTACTATGTTAGTTTCATATTCTGTGACCTATATGCAGTTACACTAGCAAAATAGCCATAAGTAATAACCTGGTACATGCGATACCACGATGGTATTGAGACATTTTTCCATCACAAAATCAAAAATATTGTTACACTCCTGCTCTCCGGGCTTTTTTGCACATAGTCAGTAGCAAAATCAAACAAATGCAGAGCTCTTCCTACAGCTTTTCCTGCTTTCCAAAAGCCTCCTCTGTTCTTGCTTTCAGAACCCGAAAGAGAGTGAATGAGAAGAGAGAATATTTATATCACATTTCTCTTTTTGCAGATGATGTCATTTTATTTTCGTCTGAGGTGCTACAGCCCCTCCCTGGTACTATTGAGATTTTCCAAAACGTTTGGCTCCTATTCAGGTCATTGAATCAGGTGGAAAAAAAAATCTACCCTGTTAGTACTGAAAGCATTTCAGAATCATTGTGTTATAAGCCACACACAACATTCCAACACTATCTTCAAACAGACATGTTCCTCTTTAGAAAAAAGTGAGATTTTTTTTCACACTGAACACTCTTCAGTGTGATATGTGCTGCAGCATACCCATTTCCCTACTAGCCAGGATTTCAATAGTTAATATTAATGTGATCACACATTTCCATGTTATCAGTACCATTTTTGATTACTGTATATTATGAATTCTTAAAACACCAAGACGATGTACATATACAAATGTGCTGCATGGAATGTCCCCAGTGTTTTCATAAAATGTACCATTTGTGACTTTGCAGTTTTTGAAATTTCTACAATTGCACCCATAGGACACAGCAGCCTTTAGCCCCCTTTCTAGCGCCTGGTACCGGCTCAACTTGACTCGACTCTACTTGCGTTATTTGTTTTTCCATCAAGCAGATGTTGGGGATAGTACCTGGTACTATTTTTAGTATCACCTTCATAAGGGTCCCAAGCGAGCTGAGGTGATACCAAACGGTGATGTGTAACTGCTGCAGGCTAGCGATTGGTCAAAGAAATTTGTCACTACTACGCAGCCACACATGAACGTGAGTGTTTACATGTGATGACCAAAGTCACTCGTTCTTCATTCATTCATAATAGTAGCTGCCACCAAAAGCGAGTCGAGTAGAATAGTCGAGTTGAGCCAGCAACAGGCAATGGAAACGGGGCTTTTGTTTTTGGTCCACTGCACCACCTGCAGCTGTGTGTATGCAAGCGTGCTCATTCAGAAGATATTAACTGTTGTACTTTGGAGTACAAATTCTTCCCTACTCAATGGGATAGCCTGCTCTTATCCAGTTAACACTCCTTGCTTTCTTGCCATAGGCATTTCTCCAAGAAGCACACAGTCTATAGCAGGGAACAACCTTTCCCCTAATTTTCTACACACAACTCATGAATCTTCCCTAAGCAAAAGAAGTCAGATCTTGGAAGCGAGTGTGTTTTTGCCTCGTATGATCCCAGTGCTGAAGTTGAGGGCAGAGTTCCCTTCATATGATCCCATGCTTAAATGAGAACCAAATGTTTGTTTAAGGTTTTCCTCACTGCGAGTGCGCTGTTTATTTTGACTGGACTGGAATGTCTTCGGACAATGCCAACCAGCTCTGCGGAGGTGGAGAGGACCATTTTCTCTGCCTTCACTGGATTGTTGGCCACATCATGAGGCTATTTATATGCCTGATTGGAGGGTGAAATGCTGTGGCAGTTTGGCTTACTGTGTACTTCTGGGACAAGTCATTTGTCAGAATAATAAATGGGGAGGTTTCGTGTAGTTCTGCTGAGCTGAAAGGTGCAGCATGCTGCCTGAAATAATTTCAAAACATGATCAAAGTGCAGGTGTCAACAATAAACCAGTGTCATATGCGTTATAATAAAATCTCCCACCATTTGGTAGATAAACATGTTCAGTAGTTTACATAATTTGGCTGGGAGGTAATTTATTTAAACCATGGTTCAGCATGAAATGTGAACATTTGCTAATTGCATCACATGCTGAAATGTCCCACAAGGAATTCTATACACACAAAATCCACAAGACAGTTGAAATGGAACAAAATAAAGATTTTAATTAAGTTTACTTCAATATTTTAACATTCTTGTCCATCTTCATGACATGTTTGTCAAGACAAATCTCTTTGCTTAGCTCTTGTTGTTCACATAGTGTTGTAAACTGTGACTGTCTACCCTAAAATTCAAACCCTAGAAAGCAGATGATGGAAACATGATTTTTGTGATTAGGGATTTTTAAATTTGATCACTTCAAAGGCCATTCAGCAAAACCTGCAGGTTATGTAGTAGTGTGCACGTCTGGTGGGTGTAAACAAGTGATAACGTTTATTTAACTAATAGTTTAGTTAATCAAATGTATAATTAATTAATCATATGTATTGGCATCAGTTCATTCAAGTCCCTCAAAGAGCACACATCCCCTCCCTCCCAAAGTTCTCTCTCAGTCGGTTTTGTTTTCTGGACAGTCATTATTGGTGTTACAGCCATTAGAGCAGCTGTAGTCTCAGACAGCAGCCCTCGTCACAGCACAGTAGCTGTGTCCATATTCCATGTTACACACTCATTTTAAGCCCCTGTAGTGTGTGTCCACACTAGGAAAGTGACCAAATTAAACATACTCAGGTAGTTAAAAGCCTGAAGCTGTGAGACAGCTGTGGTGGTCAATCCATGCTACAGAATTGTCACGTTGAGAGCGCAAAAACGTTCAGTGTGATGTCACCTTAGGGCTGTAGCAGATGTTTAGGTTAGAACGGTTCTGACAGAGACAAATACATGAGAGAAACTGCTCTAAAAGAATGACTTTAACAAAGTGATGCTCCTCATTTAAGACCAGACAAGCTTTTTAGTGAAGACATTTGAATGCTTCAAGCTGTGTATTTAATTGACCTGTATTGGACTTGATGCCATGCACATGTGGAATAACACTGCATTTATTTGTTCCCTTGCTAGATTGAGTTATTGATGTCTGTAAAAAATTGTAACTATGATGATGCTGCACAATAGCTGAATTGTCAGACTACAAAAGAAACATTCAGTGCTGGTTTTGACAGAAAGTCAGAGCTGAACCATCTATCAACTAACAGACTGAATGCCAAAAATAAAGTTGTCTTTTTTGGCTATTCAGTCTTAGATGAACCGCTTCTTAACTAGGAACTCTTCTTAAACTGTATGGATCAAATTACCCTGCAGCTTGCTGGGATTTTCTTTTGATCCTGCACCTTAGCTTTTATGTTTGGAGCAATGACTGCATGGTTTTTGATGCATGCTGTGTCTGCCAGCAGCT